CAATGACATGATCATTTAAGATGTGACATGACATGACAATGACATGATCATTTAAGACCCGTGCCATGACAATGACATGATCATTTAAGATGTGAATCACGTTGGAGTCACTCTGGGAATAAGATTCAGTGCTCTCCGAGGGTGATGACAGTCCCTTAGTAGGAGCCAGACTCAGCAGCTGCAAAGTACCTGGGCTACCAGTTAATCCTCAACCAATACTTGAAAAATAAATGAATGCCCACTGAAATGTCACCTCCTTGGAAAATTCTTCCCAACCCCTCATCTGACAGAGGTTCTCCTGTTATTCTCTATCACCTCCGTTGAGATTGGAAGAGGATGTGAATGCTACTTTTTTGCATACCTCAAATTCTGTATGGGAAACAATTAACTCATAAGCATTGCAGAGAATGAAACTCAGGACCTTTCTGCCCAATGCCAGAATCTGATTGTCTGATATTTACTTATTAGAAGAGAAGGGACCGCAGGAGCGAGCTTCCTATCAGAATATCTAGCAACTGGATCTTTAACCAGAAACATAAAAGCAACTTTTGCCATCAGGACCCATAGATGTCAAAGAATTATTTCAGCAGTCTTGACCCTTGTGTGTCTGACCCAGTCAAGGGCAAGGTGCATGCAAATTTGTGTTCTCTGCAAGGATCCCTACGCTCATTGCTCTGTGCTTATGACAATTAACCTTTGTCGCAGCTAACTGATTACTGTTCACTGGAGCACACAGAAGAAAATGCCCGAAGTATACTTTCCTAAAGTGTCCCATACAAAGAAATAACCCAGAAGAGGATGGCTAAGACATATAAATTACAACCCAGACCTGGGAGATTTGTAAGGTAGAAACTAACGAAAGAGGGCATTTGAGACTATTTCAGCATGCTCATTCAGCATATATCGAGGGCAAGTTCATCCATCCAAAGTACTTGCAAGGATATGGACTTGTAAAGTTCCCCCTCAAATACACACCTTGGACAGTGGGTTTTTGCTGGCACAGTTGATCCCACCAACAAAAACCATGTTGGGCATGATGGGCCTGGAGTAATCCTTGACAAAGTCACTTCTGAGAAGCCAGAGAGATGCAGAGCCCATCAGGTCCTGGACAGTCACATCTTTCTGAAGGACTTCTGAGGCAAGTGGTCCGTACGGGGAATAAACCACATTGCACAGAAAGCTCTCTGACAAGAAAATGAGCATGTTCTTCACCCGCGGTAGGAAGGTCATGTGATCTGAGTTAAGGGACAGAGCCCTGGGCACATAGGATGGTGGGTTGGGACACTGGGTACCTTGAAAATCTAGGCCACACGGCAGCGCATTCAAGAAGAACACGGCAGGCAGAGCCAGGTACAGGGCCACGATGGGGCCACAAGGGAGGAAAGGGTCTGTCAACACAGCATCGAAGTTGCTTTCCGCGAGCGAGGCCATTAGCTCCTTGTTGTGCAGTAAGTGGGAGCAGGCAGACAAAAGCAGGGCAGAGTCCTCCTTGACTTTCTTATACGTTTTGACCACACGCTGCAGCAAAGGCTCTTTCTCAAAAACACCGTGCCCAAGTCTGATAAAAGCCTCTTCCACGTCCTCCCTTCGGAATGGCACAGGGTACCTCTTCAAGGTGTATAATGCTCCTTCTTTGATGTGCACGGAGGCCTCGTGAGCTAGGACCACTATGTCATGTCCCCTCTGGTGCAGCTGCCGGACGACCCCGAGCATGCTCAGCCAGTGGCTGCCGTCCACTGGGACCAACAACAGCTTCCCACCCTGGGACACAGGGGGGTTCAGTGCGCACAGCAGCAGGCCCAGGACAAGCGGACGTGGACCCCGGGACCCTGCCGCCATGGTTCCCCTGCCTTTGCCACCAAGACTCTCTCCTGCCAAAATCTGTCCTCTCCTACTTTCCTGTCGCAAGAACCAATCTATACTCAAAGTTAATGGTTGATTGTATCACATGATTATAGCTGGTCAGTCAGCTGAAAATAGCAGGAAGTTTACCTTCAGAGCTAACGAGGGCAGAGCTTTACTAGGTTTCTGGGGTTTTTCAGCCAAGTATTTTTATTTTTTATTTCTTTACTCTTAAGTTTTTATTTTATTTCCAGTTAGGTTAACATACAGTGTAATATTGGGTTCAGATGTACAATTCAACACTTCCATCCATCACCCGGTGCTCATCCCGACAAGCATACTAGCTTTCTTGATAGGCAACAACAGTTTAACGGGCTGGAATTCTTTACCAACCATTCAAACCACATTCTTGAGGGGCCAGAGAAGGGAGAGCAGCTTCAGCACCTTTGAATGCATTAAATGAGTATTTCCATGGACCAAGAGGGGAGAAAATGGTTATGTGGTGACAAATTAGACTTCCTTTTTAGGAATGAAATAGAAAGCAGAATATGCCTTTTAGAAAGAGAAGAGCATGACACTGCAAGCCTACTTTTGGCCCATAACAGTCTTGCAGGATGTCCTTCCCCACGGTCACTCAGGGTCTTGCCCAACCCATCATCATTTTGATGCATTCGTCCAACAAAATACTTATTTAGTCCTACACAGCACCAGGCCTAGGGAGTGCCCACAGAGACCACCACAGATGAGTCTCCCTCTTCCCCAGAACTCAGACTCCATCAGAAGAGACAGACTGACAACGAAAGCAGATAGACATGTCAGAGGCTGTGAAGCATGTCAAGAAGGAGATGAATGCTGCTGGCTAGTGAATGGCGGGAAGGGAAGCCCACTCGAGCGTACATGTGCAGAAGGCCTTTCTCAGGACAGACGTGCCTTCGCTCAGACAGGCAGCAGCGAGAGCACTCTGAAAAATTCTGATGACCCGGTTGAAGCAAAGGGGGAAGGTGACAAAACCAGTAAGAACATATATGTATGGAGTATGTACTACATATCAAGTACGGTGCTAAGCACTTTACAACACATCTTATGTAATCCCCTAAAAGTATCCCTTAAAGGCAGATACTATTATTCCCATTTTACGAAGGAAGCTACTGAGGCTCAGAGAGATAAATACGACCAGCCAGAGTCCTGCATTTACTAAGTGACAGAGCTGAAACGCAGCCCTGAGTGTCAGAGCGTGGAGACCCTGCTCTTAACCACAACTCCCCATGGCCTCTAGCACTATCCAAATCTTAGGGCCAGGTTCAAAATTTACAGCCACCTAGGAGCCAGAAGTAAAGCTGTGATCCCCACAGTCACTACCCAATCGAAATAAATGCGGAGAAGGCAGATGTGCTCACACAGTAATACCCAGCACTAGCTGGTGCCCCAAAAGCTCAAGGGTAGGGTCAGGGAGCAAGTATGGCAGTCGCAAACAGAAATGCCCTTCCCAAAGAAAAGGCAAATCTGAGTGCAGAGAGAACCGATCATCTCGCCCTGTCCTTTGGGGATCTGTTGCTGTATGTTACAATCCCAGGATGGGAGCACAGATCTCAATATTTTGACCGTGGACATCACTAGCCACCCATATTCGGGGACCTGATAGGAAGGTCATGGAGAAACTGCTAACTCTTAAAGTTGTGGTGTTCTGTGGGGCATATTCACAGGGACCCCTTCATTCTGGTACTTAGAACAGGTACTTAGAGTCCCTTTTCCCTGTACCACTATCCTTCCTCCAGAGATCTCCAGGCTCCCATATGCTTATATATGGGTGCACGCATACACATATGCTCAAACACACATGCACTCTGAAGCTCCCCACCCACACAGAGCCTCACCCCACCCCAAGCACTTTCCCTTCTCCTGGGCTAAGGTTCTGGGCGGCTAGAAAAGGGGCAGCAATGCTTCAACCCATTGGTGTGCCCCTATCTGCAATTCTGAAATTCATAGTCCAGTTTAAACATTAGGGGCAATAATTCTTAACTCTCAATGTGAAAAGAGTTCATCTGTAAATTACCTGTAGCAAAAGAGCTGTAAACACACAGTCACCATTGTAATGATTTTATGACTTTTCTGCATCACACAGAGCCTCGGGACTTTTTGAGGCCTCTGTGTACCTGGATGGTTTGGGGACATGACTCTGCCCTTACAAGCGGGGTTTCAGCTTTGGAATCACTCACTTGGGTGCCAGTCCCTGGTTTTGCAGACAGTAAGCACTCAGTAAATGTTTTTTTTTTGTTTTTTTTTAAAGATTTATTTATTTATTTGAGAGAGTGAGAATGAGAGAGAGAGAGTACATGAGAGGGGGGAGGGTTAGAGGGAGAAGCAGGCTCCTTGCTGAGCAGGGAGCCCGATGCGGGACTCGATCCAGGGACTCCAGGATCATGACCTGAGCCGAAGGCAGTTGCTTAACCAACTGAGCCACCCAGGTGCCCCTCAGTAAATGTTTTTGTATAGATGTGACACTTCCCTCCTTCACTCTAGGCCCCATATCCAAGCAAGCAAGTGCTGAATCCACTGTCTCTGAGACCCAGCTGCCATAGTCCTGTTTTGGGGCCCCCAACCCCTACCTACCCTTTCTGAGTTCCAGCATCAGCTGCTCCCTGCACTGCCCCACCCCACCACCATCCCTGAAACCTTGGTCAACAGCTTCCTAGGACCCAGAATAAAATTTAGACTCTTCAGCCTTGCCCTCAAAATTCCCTGGAATGGACCTTCAGCCCACCTGTCCAAGCTCATTCCTCCTCTCCAGCCCTTTCACCCGACCCCGACCCCTCTGCCCCTTTCCCTCCACTCATTCTGGATCACTTGACCTTCCCCAAACAGGCTTTTCCCACATGGCTTTGTTCACACTAGACTCTACTCCCAATCCACTTCCTACTGCTGTTTATTGCATGATTAAAGTGCCAGCTCCAGGATCGTACTCAGCCCCTCAAGGTGACATGAGGTTTGTCCTGGTGACATAGAGTGCCTCATTGGATCTACTACCCTTTATGATGAAATATTAGAGTTCACTGGTTAATCATTTTCCTCTTAGAACTAAGTGACCTTTATTGGTACTGCCTTGCCATTTATCAAAGCAAAAAATATAGTGTCAGAAAATAAGGAGAAAGTAGACAGAGGTCAGATGTCCAAAAATGCCAAAAAGAAAGTCATGGTCACGGTACAGCAGTTTTAGTGGAAATAATTACTGCACCAACGTCGACCAACAGCACTACGAGCATGGCCAGCAAGTTTTAATCGTTTTGATAAACTAGACCAGGAGTTCTCAAACTATGGGCCAGAACACCCTGGGGATACCCAAGAATTTTTTAGGGGAGTTTTGCAAAGTCAAACTATTTCCATAATGATATTTGGCTTTTTCCCTCACATGCTCTCTTAAGGGTACAGTGGAGCTTCTCCGTGGCCACATCACCTGTGATGTAGCAATAGATTGACTGCGGAAGCAGAGAGAAGAATCCCCTTCTCTTCTCTTAAACCAAAGAAACGTGAAAAATGTAGTATGATGCCACTCTTCACTAATTTTTTTGCTTTGAAAAAATTATTTGGGGTCACCTTGGTGGCTCAGTCAGTTAAGCACAGGACTCTTGATTTCGGTTGGGGACATGATCTCCAGGTCCTGAAATTAAGCCCCATACAGACTCTGCGACGAGAGCGGAGTCAGCTTGGGGATTCTTTCCCTCTCCCTCTCCCTCTGCCCCTCCCCCACCCTCGCGCAAGCGCATGTGCGCTCTCGCGCTCCCTAAAATCTTTTTTTAAAAGAAGTGATTTTCCCCGGCGCCTGGGTGGCTCAGTTGGTTAAGCGACTGCCTTCGGCTCAGGTCATGATCCTGGAGTCCCGGGATCCAGTCCCGCATCGGGCTCCCTGCTCGGCG